AGTTGAGTTATGTCTCCCAGAAATTTATGTGTTGAAGTCCTAATCCCAGTATCACAGAATGTGACCTTTTTGGAAATAAGGTTGTTGCAGATGTAATTAATTAAGATGAACTCACATGAGAGTAGGGTAGGCCCTTAATCCAGTATGACTGATGTCTTTATAAAAAGGGAAAATTTGGACATAGACATATGCATAAGGAGAACCCTATGTGAAGATGAAGACAGAGACTGGGGTGATGTAGCAGAACTAAGGAGCACCAAAGATTGCCAGCAAACCACCAGAAGCTAGGAGAGAGGCCTGGGACAGATTCTTCCTCATAGCCCATATACTGAACCAACCCCTTGATCTTGGACTTCTAGTTTCCAGAACTATGATAAAATAAATTTCTGTTGTTTAAGCCACTTAGTTTATAGTACTTTGTTACAGCAATCCTAGAAAACTAATACGGTGAGAAAACCTACTAGATTTTTTAAATAAATGAGTATATATAGACTAATTACAATACAACTTACTTTATCTACCTCCAAAGCTTCTGAGTGGAGAGAGAGAGAGAGAGAGAGAGAGAGAGAGAGAGAGAGAGAGAGAGCGAGCGAGCGAGCGCGAGCACAAGCATTCCTTAGTTGATGGGCTCAATACATTCAGGCTAGAAATTGTACCTGACTTGGAAGCTCTTTGTTCCTCTGTGTCATATTTTGGTTATGACTATGGGAAGTCACACATGTGAATGCTGGCAACCTAAGAAAATTGACCATGCAATTAGGTGTGGAAAAAATGAAGGGTCTAATGGACATTTCTATAAAGGCTATAAGTAGTTTGCTTTTAGTATTCATATTAATGAAGAATTTATAGGTAAGGGTAGCAAAAACAGAAATTAAACATGTTTAATGCTCTTTATTTCCACATTTACTGCCAAGTTTAGTTTTGGAATCACAAGAACTGGCCCTTTCCTCAGAAGCAGAATTAGTCTTTGGTTGTTCTGGCTTTCTCAGTACCCTGATTGACTTTTCATCCAGTTTCTGAAGTAACGTGACCATTCTGCAAATGGCCTTGGGAACATTTCACAATGCAAAATGTATAAAAATATATAAACCTGAGAGCAGAAACATTTGAAAATGTCTTGCCTGAGGAGTCAAGAAGAAATTAGCAGCTTTATCTTCTTTACCATGCAAGCAGACTACAAACCCCAGTTTTGATCTTTCTTAATTTTCCATTATTTATTGAAAGCAAAGAGAAAAAAAGTAAAAAAGATTAAATCTCATCACACTAAATATTAGAGATAAATGACAATTTTCTAAATAATGGGTTGCTATGATTTCAGTCAAAACACTGAACAGCAAAGCTCAGGGTCTCATATCCTAATCAATACATTTTTGCATAACACGAGCCTACTGATTAGTCAAGGACATTCATAAATGAACCCATCAAAAATTGAAAATATTGTAAGTTGAAAATGCATTTAATAAACTAATTTACCAAACATCATAGCTTAGCCTACCTTAAACACTTACATTAGCCTACAGTTGGGCAATTGTCTTGAGTTTTATTTCAAGAGTAATTGCTTTCCTCTTCTCACCAGAAACAGGAAATACACATGGTGTTTTGTAGATATAATGGACATAAAAACACAAAACATGATATCCAAAAAACACTGACTACACAGTACACTGTAGAGTATCAGTCGTTTACCCTCATAATCGTGTGGCTGACTGGGAGCTGCCTTTTCCCAGCATCGCAAGAGAGGATCACACCGCATGTCGCTAGCCCAGGAAAAGATCAAAATTCTAAATTTGAAGTTTGGTTTCTACTGAATGTATATTGTTTCCACACCATCATCAAGCTGAAAAATTGTTAGACTAATCATCGTAAGTTGAAGACTGTCTATAGATCTGTATCGCCAAATCCAGTGGTTATTTTGCTATATCAATTTTACTGTTTTTCTCTGCAGCATCTGAAAGCAGATCTGTCTCTCCCTATAATACAATGACATCTCTTACTTTCAGTTCACTAGACTTTCCTCGCTTTATTCTTATCGTTCTAAAAGCTCCTTCTTGTTTTCTTTTGTTGGTCTTTTCTCCTTAATTTTATCTCTAAAGATTTGAACATCTCAGGGCTCAAGCCTGGTGTCACTTTTCTATCTATAATTAAGTCTTAGGTAATAATATTTATATGTTGATAACTTCCAAATTTATATCTCTTTTCTCTACATTTAATTACAGATTCATATATTCAATTATCTATTTTATATTTTCACTAGATTATTTCATAAACCTCTAAAACATAATATGTAAAAATTCAAATTTTTTATTTCTATTCTCTCATCCCTCAATTAACAGTTTCTCTTTCAAGCTTAGGTAGCAGTATACTTCCAATTGTTAAAGTAAAAAAAAAAAATCTAATAGTTTTTTTAATCTTCTTTTCCTTCAATTCCTTCCCTTCATCTAATCAAGTAACAAGATCTATCAGCTTTACCTACACACTATATGGAATTCATCTATTAAAAAATTCCCCACCTCTATTGCCAGCATCCAAATCCAAGCCACTACGATTTCTCATACAGACTACTTACAGTAGTAATTTATCAGATGACCCCTTAATTATTCTTCTCCCCACCCCCAGCACATAAAATATCCATTCTTCTTATTAACAAAGTGACCTTAAATCTGCATATAAATCAAACTATGTTACACGTGGTTTCAATTCCTTCAGTGTCTTCTCATTACACTTAAATCTAAATTTTCTCTCATGACCTACAAGGCCTTTCATGATCTTTTCAGTCACTCTTTGCCCACCATGCTTTGGTCATAGACCTTATTGCTCTTCTTCAAACATTTACTCCTCAGGGTACTGTCACTTGGCTTGCCATCTTTCAGGGTTATTTGTCCAGAATATTGGATGGCTGGGTTATATTTGTAATTTAAGTCTCAGCTGAAATCTCACTTTCTCAAGTAGGTCTGTCTTCACTCTGGTATATAAAGCTATCCTTCATCTCCAGTTTCTCTCAGTTGCGTTAATCATGACATAACTATTTGTTTGTTGCCTTGATCATTACCTGCCTTCTATGATGTTGTCTATGACAGTGCATGAAAGTATGGACTTTGTCACATTTCATCTGTATTTTAAATATGCATTATGGTGCCTAACACTCAGACATTCAATATATGAGTAGATATCTATTTATCGAACAAGGTAAAAACAGAAAGAAATTTGCCTGCATTCTCGGTAACTTTTTCACTACATTCTCTTAGAGAAAGACTGAAAACTCTACACCAAACCATGGGAGTGAAAGAAACAGTACAAATACTTCTTTTAACCCTAAATTTTTCATGATTTCTCAGAATTAACATAATCTCAGAAGATAAACCACTTGACTTGGCTACGTTCCTTTTATCCTAGATATGCCAGTAAGAAGAATTATGCACAGTAAGAGGTCTCTAATATGGTTTCTGTTGCTACCTCAGTATCCTTTGCTTGGCTATGGTCCACAGAGAAATTGAGTGTTGAGGTGCTATGTTTGTAATTTAAGTAGACGATCAAGTTTCTAAAGTTCACAATATGAAGACATCAAATGGAGCTTTCAAGATTCCCATTAGTCCGTATAGATTTTTGTTCCCATGTCCAATAAATCCACATAAGCTGGCTTTGATGGGGGATAGGGACAGGTATTCTTCAAGACAGTATTGAAAAGAACGTAAGTTTCAGCCTATATACCTATTGCTTCTTTATCTTATAAGGCACTCGGTGAATCTTTTTAAAATTATCAGTTTAATTAAAATATATTTTTTGTACTGTCAGATTCAGAGAAGAAAAACTAACCTATGGAACTAGTGTACAAGTAATTTTGATTTTTACCAAATTTATTGATTAGAATATTTATAAACATTTCCTTTTCTGCACAGAAAGTTCATGGCTAGTCTGGGCTGGTTAGTAACAGAGTCAATCACTTCAAAATACCTTTGCCATAACATAAATATTTCTCTCAATCACTTCAAAATACCTTTGCCATAACATAAATGATGTGCTTTTGATGGAGTTTCCCAAATAGATATCTCGTAGATGACTTATGTATAATCCGAATATTATCCTCCTGGCTTATAGAGATGAACTGTATTGAATCAATGTCTCTTTGACAGTTTTAACATTTTAACTTTCAAAACGTAAGTTTTTGATTGAAGGTCTCGTCGAAGTATCTTGATAATCAATGCCTGGTGCAGTCTTAGTTTGCTAAAAACAAACTTTTCACATGCTTTTTGTCTAAGAAATATTGTTCAATACACAATAAATGGTTCTAGTAAGGCTCTTTCTTTAGCTAACCTTATTTTATAGAAACTTTCTATATAAATTATCTTTCTCTCATACTTTTTGAGTGTCTTTCTTTCATTGATCTATGATCCAAAAATAACTTTTGAACTCGTTGGGAGAATATTTATTTTAATCACAATTTATGTGTCTTAATTGTGCTCATAATCAGTATTAATTTCTGCAACATTCATAGAATCATATAGAATTTGATTAAGAACAGTCTCCTTATTGAGTGTTTTTCAAAGGTAGAGCTTAGTTGGATGATCTGAGAAGAAAAAAGTCTAGCTAGGACCATGAAGGTGAGCCAGCTCCTTTTCATATGGATGCAAATAACAGCAAGATGCTATTACAGTTGTTCTGAATTAGTCATACAATTTTGCAACTGGAGAAATGATTTAAAACTAACTATAAAAATAATCTCTCCTCTCACAATTAATATTAGAATCTTAGCTTCTGTATGTTCTAAAACATGTTTTAAAAACTTTGAAGGAACACACACACACAGAGACAGAGAGAGAGAGAGAGAGAGATAAAGAGGCAAAATCAGCTCTATATGAGATTTCCTAAGTTGTAAGTATACTAATACATTCTAAGAGTAATTGACCACATGAAACAAACATTAATGTAGGAACTGCAGAAAGTTAAGAAACATGTCTTCCTTTGTCCTAGAAAATGATAATTTTTCTTCAGATCCATTTACGTTAGAAATTTCTTCTTTTCAGGATATATGTTACTTTCCATAGCACCCTTAGAAATGCTTGTCGTAATTTATTGTTCCCTAGAATTAGGATAAAAGAATGGCTTGAGGGATAGATTAGAGCTATCAACTCACCAATCATCACAGCTAATTCAGTCTCTGGCATAAAGTAGCTGGAGGTGGCTACAAGAAAGGACAAATAGTAGGCAATGAAAAGTATGAGGAAAGAGATGACAGCTTTCATGGCTCCCACATGAGCTTCTATGCTGGGGTCTCTGCATCCTGTGGCATTGAGTCGCATCTGCCTGGTGTGTCTCCGCAGGGAGAGAATCAAGAGGAGAAATGAGATCAGGGACACAGAAAAGGGGAAGAGTGTTAACAGGTTGAGACATACCTTAATGGAAGCATACTGAGCTTTATTTACTCTGCATCTCAAAGTTAAGTTTGCTTTCCACTTTGCCTTGACACAAAGCCTGAAATCATCATTCAAATTTTCAATGACAGGAAAGCTAATAATGACAGAGACGGCCAAGCACACCAGCAGGATCCTAGGAATCACCCTGTCAATTCTCCACTTCATCCAGAGGAAAAGAGGATGAAAGAAATTAGCTATCTTGAGGAAATAAAAAATGCTGAGGCAGGTGGCAAAGCAGACACTCAAATGGTTGGTTAGTGTCCAGAAGAAGTCAATGATTTTCATTTGTTTACCGGTGGCATAGACATCTGGATACAGCACCAATATAAAACAATCTAATAGTATTATACACAATAGACAAATTCTAGATATGGCCAGACTTGTGAGGATTAAATCAATGGAAGCAATCTTCTTATTCTTGATCCAGTCCATACAGTTCACCAAGCCAATGAATGCATTTCCTAAGATTCCCATTGAAAATTCTCCAGCTGCTATGATCATTAAGGTGTTTTTTACTTCATCTGACATGTTAAAACAGGAAAATACCCAATTTGTTTTTATCTGAACTGATGTAGTTTGATATCTACACCTACTTCTTAGCTTTTGCTGTAATTTTCTTTACTTCTTTTATTGTAGACTGTCTTGTGATGGAGATGCGAGTGGTAAATGAAGGCTGTAGCTATCTTCATTAAAACTTAATTAGTCTTCACAAATAGCGTGGTTGGCAATCCTTGGCCTGGCTGCTGTATGTCCATTTACCTTTCCAGTAGGTTTTATGTTTCCACACATGGTTAATTTAGGCTGAGCTACAGTTTATAAAGATGCAAATTAGGTCAAAGCTCTCTCAAGGTCTCGCACTGTCTTTCTCAGGCTACCTTCTGCAAATTTTGGATTCATTAATCTGTGATGCATACTAGTAACCTCAACAGCCTGCCAGATTTAGCAAATAAAAATGCAGAGTACCCAGTTAAATTTGAATTCCAAAGAAACAATAAATTTTTTTAGTGTATATTCCAAATGCATAGGATAACTACTTAAATTTAAATTTAAGTAGGTGTCCTATATTTTATCTGGCAAATCTTAACCTCAAGGATTTATTTTCTGGCAATTAGAAAATAGTCAAAAATTGAAATTTATAGAGGAATCTTCATTTTGTTGAATAATATTAATTACTGCTAAAAATCCAAAATTTGGGTTAACAAAGTTTGAGAATTTAAAAGATGAACACTAAATATAGATTATTTGGTTCTAAAAACATTTCAACTTATTTTATCTTGGTTCCTCAGATGAACAACAATTATATGGCACAAGGTCTCAAAATAGCGCCATCTTATTAGTCAAGTAACATTTAATGGTCATTCACTTTGTCATACTATATATAATAAGGTGAAGGAACCATAATAGAGAAGAGTATTAATTACCTTTAGATTTTTCCTTTTCATTTAAAATATTCCAAAGGGAAGTTGTATACACAAGAGAAAAAGAAAAGAAAATCCTGTTTCATTCTACTCCCTACCCTCCCCTTTCCAAATTGCATCTGAATATCTAGATCCTTAGCCCTTCTAGCCTGTTAGGCAGGAGATTAATGATTAAATTTACCTTATGTCTATGGACTAATTCTTGTTTTGAAATAGCTTTTCTAATTTGGCGTTACTGAGGAACACTTTATTACATAATGTTTCCATGGAATAATTCGGGGTATTCATACATTCCTTGGTAATACAATTCTTCTCTCATCCTTCCTTAAAGGTCAAATCTTCATTCTAGAGACATAGCCCTGATTATTGGGCAAACTGCTTTATCATGTAGTGATTTCACAGGTGACCACTCTCCTATGGAAACAATCCTTGACACAAGCACATCATTTTCTTCTCCCTAATGTCCAGGTAAATATAGCATTCACAATAATTATGATAACACCTTTACCAAATAAATTTTAGACTAATTTTTTTCACAGATAATTGTAGATTTTATGCTTACTAGTGTTGTAAAACATGGAAGTTATGATGCAGGTACTATAGAAAAGGGTATGAACTTTTTTTAAAAAATTAAAAATATACTGACCTATGGATCCATCAACCTCACTTCTGTGTATATATCCAAGAGAAATAAAATCAAAAATTTCAAGAGACAACTTTAACCCTTAACTTTATTGCAACATTATTCACAATAACTTAAATGTAGAAACAATCAAAATTCCCATTGACAGATGAATGGATAAAGAAAATGTGGTATATGGAAACAATAGAATATTACTCAGTCTTAAAAAAAAAAAAGAAAGAAATTTTGAAATAAGAAAAAACATGTGTGAACCTGGAGAACATTATGCTAAAGGAAATGAGCTAGTTACAGGAAGATAAATACCATATGATTCCCCTCATATGAGGAATCAAAAGTAGCCAAACTCATAGAAGCAGAGAGTAAAACAGTGGTTGCCAAGGCCTGAGGGGAAGGAGAAGTGGAGAGTTGATATTCAACAAGTATAAAGTGTCACTTATGCCAGATGAATAATTTTAGAGATTCACTGCAAAACACATAGCCTGTAGTTGACAGTACAGTACTATACACTAAAAAAACTTGTTAAAAGTGTAGATCTCATGTTGAATGTTCTTACTACAATAAAAAAAAAAGAAAGAAAAATTATGCAAGAGAGAATTTCGTCACAAGCTTACTACTTTGAAGTTCGGTCATGGTCATTGGAGATATTTGAAACATTGGAAATACAGAAAACAAAACATGGAAGGAAGGACTTTAATGCAGAAAAACCTTCCCAGAAGTCTTAATCTAATTAAATATTTATTCTATCTAAACCTGCAGAATGACATAAAGTTTATCTCAGTATAGAATCTACAAGTATTTTATAGAATATATTAATATATTCTATCACAGGGACACTGATTCTCCTTTCTAATATAACAAATAGCAATCTAAATAGCTAGCACATTAGAAATATAGTCTTATGTCCCTAAGACTAATTGTGTAGAATCGTATGCAGAAAAATTTATAATCTTTGGGTAATTAATACCTTAGTTATAATAAAAGGAAATTCATAGATTGAAATAGACCAGAATTAGACATAGAAAATGGTGGGAGCAAAAAATGCTCAGTTAGATCAGAACAGACATGGCCTTAGATGTGCCAGATCAAGTATTTCAATAATACTAGTGAAGAGGATTTGAACAGAATCACATTTTATTAATGACTTTTTTTTTTGTAGTTTACTCTGTATGAACATATAGTGAATTTTTAGTGATGGTATTTTGTTATTCCATTGTGTATGATAATTTCTTCCCAATGAATTTCTTTTCTTAAATCCTGAATGAAAACTCCTTGGGTCTTATTAAGGAAAGGAATTTGAACAAAGTCTGACATATTAGTCACCTCCATCCAGATTGTGAAGAGCACTTAAGGACACTCCTTAGAGGAAGATGCTTGAGTGGGTTCTATTCCTATCCTGGTGCTGCCTGAAATGTAAGTTATTTAAAAGGAAATTTAATTTCAAGAGAAATAAATAAGAGATGTTAGAGAAAGGTCAACTAGAAAATATCACCTGGTAGACTACCTAAAGCATCACTGACTTGGAAGGACAGAGACACAAAACTGGGAAAGTGAACCAGAAACAAGACAGGAAGAAACTAAGTTCATAGTTAATAAGTCAAATGAGAGTAACTCAGCAGAACCATGAAGGGAACTCAGTTAAGGGTCAGCAATGAAAGTGTATGATAGAAAAAAAGTGAGAAATCATTTAGTGCAGCTTGGGTGCACTTCACAGTGGGCCAATGTCAAATGTTAAAGAACTTTAGCTAGGCAATACATGCCTAACATTTGCAGTTAAAGGACAAAAAGAGAAATGTGGGCCCTGAAATTTTTGGAGGGAAGGGTGAAGATGAGAATGTCTGGAAGTGTAAAGAGATGTAAAGGATGTATTCTTTGGTGTGCTAGTGGTCTCAATAACACTTAAAGATATATACTCAAAATAAATAGAATAACTGGAAAAAAATGACAATGAACCTACAGAAAATTGTATTTTTATTAGAAAATAAAATTTGCTTTTAAAGTCCATTTTTACAGCCAAGGTTTTACATCACACATGCTGTTTTTCCACACCTCAGCATCCTGACAGATGCCTGCCTCAGTCTGTTATTTCCAATAATTAAAATAAGTGAGAGACCTGAGGGGTAGAGAATTGCTATAACCTCTCCGAATATCACAGCTAACTTTCTTTCCTTCATAAGGTAGCTAAATGTTGCCAAAAGAGGAGCAAGATAGTATACAAAAAAGAGGAAGAGAAACAAAGTAACAGTTTTCATGACTCCTACGTGGGCCTCTGTGCTGGGATCTCTACAGCCTGTAACATTCAGTTTCATTCACTTAGTGTGTCTCCATAAGGACGTAATTAAAAGAAAAAATGAGATCAATGACACAGTAAATGGGGCAATCGCTATGAGGTTAAAGAATGACAACAGGTTGAAGTATTGAATTACACTTACATGAAACAATTCAGTGAAGTTTCTCTTATGTTTTGCAATTTTAAACTCAAAATCATAATTAGGTCTCATTGCTAGCATTAGGCTGCTTAACAAAGAAATGGCAAGCATTGCAGCAGGATCCAGCAAACCACCCTCTAAACTCTCCATTCCAGCCAGAAGAAAAATGGGTAGCAGAAATTGGCTATCTTGAGGAAATGGAAGACGTTGAAGCAGGTGGCAGTTCTCATACTGACGTCGTGGGTGAGTGTCTACAAGGTATCAACTATTTTTAGCTTATCATTTTTATAAACATCTGGCTATAAAACCATTATGATGCCATTGAGCACCATTACACAGAGCAAACGAATTCTGGAGATGTAGTCAGTTGAGGAGATCTTTTTTTTTCTTAACCCAGTCAATCCAGTTTACTAGTCTAATGTATCCATTTCCCAAAATTCCTAATATAGACTCTCCAGTTATTATCATGATAAGACATTATCTTCTATACTGAGTATGTTGGTAGAGAGAACAAATACCCCAATCTCAAATATCACTACAGATGGGCTAATTTACATATGACCAGTTGAAACATAACAAATAAATTCTTCAAATCATGGAATAATGTTTTCACTTGTCGTTATTTTGACTTTGATATCATTTCAGAAGTGCCCAGATATCCTCGAAAATAAGATTGCTTCTACATTCATGAAGAATAAACCAACTGATTGCTCCAAACAGCTTGACTAGCTTTGTAGCCTGGGTAAATTATAATTATCGCTCTGTAGTGAGTGATAACTGAACTGTTTGGTTAAAACCACTCTCATACAAATTAAAATATATCATATTTCATGAATTTGCAATAGGCTTCATGCAAGTATGTTCCGCATATATGGTCAAATTGAGTTTTGAATAAGAAACTACAGAGAGCAAACAAAAATACGTGCTTGTTAAAAATCAAAATGTGTAAATGAAACATCATTTGCATCATCATAAGTTATAAATTTCTTACAAGACAGTTCTAGTGGAAATGAATTTTAGTTTTGGAAACAATCAGTGCAATCAGATTATAGAGAGTTAATATTCACTCAGATGATAATTTTTGTTTTCATATAAATAGTTAATTAAGGACGGATATGATACAAATCTAATTATAAAGGACATAATGTTATTAGTCAGGCAGATACATAGCAACATTTACTAAGAATTTGTTCTCTATGTTTAATAAAAAGTGAAATATACCAGATAACGTTTTGTTTTCTTTAGTTTCATTGAATAAGGGAAATGCCCTGGTTTGTAGAACAGTTAATGTTTTTTCCTTGCAGTGAAACCTGATTTGAATTCTTACTCTGAATGGCTTAAAAGTAAAGACTAATGTTAAAGCAGCATTATCTATTGTTTTTTGTACGTCTGTTTTCGTGAGTGTGTATTATTCGTTTTTATTTCTTTTAACCTTCCAATCTGCTTACAGTCCTACTAAAAGTAATAGTGAAGTTTTTAATATAAAGAATAAGCAAATATGATGAAAAAGGCTGGCATATTATCCTATCCCAATGCCCAGCAGAGTGACAACTGTAAATAGCAAATGATGCTTAAATTGTATCTTTCATTCAGTTGTATAATAAACCCAAAGACCCACTAAAAAATATACATTATATAATAATAATAATAATGATATGGGAAATGCTATCCATGACAATTCACTTTCCAAAATGTCTCTTAGATAATTAACATTTTCATCTAAAATTAAGAAATGCACACTTTAAATTATTCTAATTAAAATTAACTCCTTTTATAAGATTTATGATTTCATATTCTGTATTGTAGTCATTTCTCTAGACAGGCAATCACATTTCTTAAAAATGTGGGGGGTTTTGTTTGTTTGTTTTTTAACCAACAAGTAT